TTCACTAGGACGGCAGATCCGTATGCAGGAGTGATTTCTGCTGCTTGTCACATGCATGCCAGCATTGGCGCATTCCTTTCTTGCTCAATGCTCATATGTTACGCTAATTTTATCAAAGTAACTTGTTGTGGTGCTACGGTTCTACGAGTGTGTGAACACCATGCATTCACATGCATGCAGGGCATCACGGCCTATTCGTTTACATGTACATTTTATTATTGTATACAAAAAGTCCACTGTATTCCTCCAGAATAGGAACGAGAAGTGGTGCGGGGCCAGGCTGCTCTGCCGACCTAATGTACAGACTTTTACAGTATGGGTCTGCTGGTGGGACTTTGAGCCAAGCAGAGTACAGTCAACTTTGTGATTAACGACACTCGGCGGGGTATCAGAAAAATATCTTTATTCGCGAAGTGTCCTTATTCGCGGAGTGTCCTTATACCCGAAGTCCCATTTGAATGTATGTGAACCCATATTTTGTATAGTATGACATGCATATCAAAATGAAGCTCTTTTCATGCCCTATGTCAATGTGTACTTTATTTTCATGTTGCAATGGAAAGGAACTATAATGTAAATATGCAAGGGAAATAAATTGAAAATAAGCCTTTTGGAGCCGTCTACAGGGCCAGAGATATGTATGATGATTACTGTACAATCCTTTACAACTAGTTGTGCTGATCACTCCAACTATTTTGAAGCAAAATAAAAAAAAACGAAAAAGCCCCCCCCCCCCCCTCGTTGGCTGCATCTTCTTGTATGTGTGCCGTTATCCATCGCCATGGATCCTGGCACTTCTGCATGACAGGTACTTGAAATGGCTGTCAAAAGCCCAGACAGTCGTTACTGGAGCAGTGAATTCCCATCGGGGCACTAACATCATAATTATTATGTCTCTATTCCCTAATTGTCGTTACTCAGATAGTTGTTATATCCGAAGTTAAATGTACACAGTTAGATGGGACTTTCCGCTGGGTATGGAAATTCTGTCGTTATTCATGATTTGTCGTTATATCCGCAGTCGTTATTAGTGAAAAATGTCTTTCCGTTCATCGCCCTAAATATTATTATTAGGCCACACTGAAAAAAGTCTGTGGTTCGACTCACCCGACCGACCGTACATTTTTCAGCCCGACCGTAACTTTTTTTTCGGCGGGCTGTCGTGTGACTGACGTACGTGGACTGAACACGTCCACGTCTACGTGCTGTGCAGCGTGAGTCTGCGGACGCAGGCGGCTCCTTTTGGACTTGACTTGTAGTTGTACTGCAGTGCAGTGCAGTGAGTGGTACGACTGCTGCCTTGTGCTGGTAGTAGAGTCTACTCGATACGACCACCACCATTACAAGTCACAGACTGTTTTCCCTTTACCGTTTCTGCTGTACAATGCTCCAATTAATATTAATGTAGATTTCACGATTTGCCACCATACTCTTTACTCAACACATCTGCCATAGCACTGTTCATTGGGTCCGGAGGGCTGAGTCACACATACTTCTAAGTCACATTTCTGCCACACAATGTTTCAAAGTATTAGCCAGTGATCCCATTATACAACATTATATGGCATAACACTGCGTAATAATGCCGATGTACTGGGTGTCTAAAGGCAGTACAATGTATTTACATGTACTAAAAATATATATTTAAAAAAAATCCGCCCGCCCGCCCGTAAAAAAAATGTCCATGTTAGTCGAACCACACACCTTTTTTAGTTTGGCCTTATATTATTATTAAAAGCATGTCCGCGTAGGTGGCGGGGGTGCCACTTTCGCTTATGCCATTCAGGATTGATGTCTGAAGAGTAATACGATACAATGAAATGACAGAAGTGACGTCAACAAAAGCCGTTAGCAACAATACCAATAGGACTAATGGAAAACTTCATCCAAAGTACGAGAGAGCTTGGAAGCTCAGGGCCCTACGCTATGCTTTTTTGCCTTGATGACCTAGACAAAAAAAGCATAGGGATGTTATAAATTCTAAATAAAGGGTAATACGACACTGTCTACCGCCTTGATGACGGCAAAAAAAGAAAAGGGATGTTATAAATTTTTCAATTCTCCTATTTTTTTCAGGCATTACCTGGGATTCGAACCCGCACTATTGCCCCACATGCATTCCCCCATACACTTCGCATTCATACCCATTCTTCCAAGTTGCTTCACGTTACGATCTTGCGTTTGAAAGCCCTATTTGAATATTGCGGCCAGCTGTATGTGGCCGGCTGTGTTTGATGGTACGGTACGGTACGGGACAGATACGGGATAGCGCCAGGCGTGACACAAACACACAAACAAACAAACACACAAATACCAAATTAAAGCTGTGTGGACCCTGGCTAGCGCCAGACGTTACTGAAGTAACGTCTTCTGCATAGCTACGGGAATAAAATAAAATAGAATATGCATACAACATGTCTGGCGGAATCACGCGGATCACGAGAATCAGTCCTGTATCGCCCTAAATGACAACACTATATTCTTGCAGCCAAGCACCATCTTTTAGAAGGATTACAGGAAGCCGGATTCGCGGCCACATCGCCCGACGCGTTGAAGGAACACATCAAGCAAAGACGTTCCAAAAGCACCATACATGTTATGCGCTTATGCAGAAGGAATAGAGAGTTTCCGTACTACGTAAAGTTGAGCAACTTTGCGTAAGTTAACGGGAAAAACCCGTGAATTCGCGAGCTGGCACTCCACTTACGGAAAGTTATCTAAGTAGAGTACGTAAGTGGGGCTCTACGAACGGAGGTGCTCTGCAAGTGGATTAGGGTACAAAATTATAACTCTCTCTCCACATGTCGTGCACTGCCACATTCGGAGTTGCCAAGGGCAGCTATGTGGTTGGAAACTCCGTACGGCAGAACACATATCCGCATGCAGGGGTACGTACTGTGCGACTTTCCTTAGATCAACAGTGTTTTTACTAATGTGATAACATTGTGCAGGACCACTCCAATAGCACCGCGCTGCAGCAGTCCAGAACTGTTGAACAGTCCAGAACTTGTTATAACCCTTATCCAACCAGCCGTACAAACATCGACCACTGTAGGTCGATGGGTCTGTCGTAGCGCAACTCAATGATAGTCTGTCCGTTTTGCACTACTTTGGTGTCAAAACAAGCCGGAAAGAGTCACCCCGCCAGTGCTGCCAATTAAGGCGTAATGCCATGATCCAATTTTAAGCAAGAGTTCTTCGGTTGGACACTTGCTGCAGTTGCATGTTAACCAATGCAGATGGATGGACAGTCCGATCTCCAATAGGACTCCTTCGAGCTGGGTATGTCAACATAGTAAAAAAGAAAAAGAAAAAAACAGTGGACAGGGGAGGAACAGAAATAAACAGAATTCAGACAGAATTCATACAGAATCCCAAGTCCGTCTACCGAGAGGCAGTCTCCTGGAGTCTTCCCAATACTGCATTTAAATATTGCTTACCACCATTGGTCTTCTCTCAATGGTGTTGTCTGCTCTTTGTTTTGTTTTCTTTCAGCTGAGCAACCAACACCGGCGGAAGTATTCAGTGCAATGCCAGACTCTGCGTCAGGCGAAATTACTGGTCAGTCGGCGACACGCATTTTTCACAAAAATTTGCATTTCACCTGCTGGGAGAGTATGCGTGTACTCGAGTCTCATCCTGAGCACGTTCTCTTCTTCTTCTTTTTTCAGCTCCAATAGCTGTATTTTTCATTGCAAAGCCGTCCTCGATTGTTGTGTTCGTTGTTCAAACGAAGTGGACATTCAATCATGAAGGCAGAGGACATAGGAGCCTGATTGGAGTTTCTCGTGGCATAGGACGGCCACACAGAGACACTTTGGGATTTTCTGAATATAAAATACTGTACGCACGATGCTGAGATCAATTTGTGCGATATCAAATTGTTTGTGATCTACCACATCGAGCAGAACGGGATCCAAACACAAGCTTACCGACGGTTAGGCTGCTGACCTGACTGGACAAATGATTCCTGGCTTCACCAGACGCCAGAAGTCGGACACCATGTCCTTTGCCGCGACGTCCATGTCCAAAAAGAACTCCATCTTCGTCGTGAAAAGGCTTGAAATACTCAATATTCAACCGAGATTCGCGGTCTCACCCTTTCTCAGATCGAATCTTTTTTTGTTGTAGCAGTTGCAGAGCAGATCCCCGCCACTACTTCAACGGCGATGGCTCCAAAGCATGCCTGGAGCAAGCCATATCGAGGTTGCAAGCCACCCCTCTCAGCAAAAAATTCGAAGAAATTCGAAATTTCAATGGTGGAAGATATACTATGAAGAGAATTTCAAAAAGTATGTTTCGCGGAGCGATCGCTCAACCTACGTCATTCAAACTTTGCAGGATGGTTCAGACGTACATGCTAGGCATGGAACCACAGGCAATGATGCCATAGCTGACACACAGAGTAACACACACAGCAGATTCGTGTGCACAGATACTAAATTAGTGGACGTCGTCATCTTCTTCCCGCTGATCTCAAATGTACTATGACGTGCTATTTCGCCTGACGCCCCACCGCACTTCTCCCCAATTCGCTCTTCCATCCCACCCAACCTTACCCACTCCATTCCACCCAATCCCATCTGACACAGGCGGACACCCAGGGGGTCCCGTTGCCCGGAACCTCCCTCCCCCCCCCCCCCCCCCCCCCCCGGAATGTTTCTAACGCACCTCTGTGCAACATGAATTTTAATTCCGTTTTGTGAGTGAGCGTACATTCCTGTAGTGTAAACTGTACAATCCTACTCAAAGCCCTTTGATCTACATGATCTACATGATCTACATGGAGATGATGACTGTACTCTCCAAGTGTGTGGGTCGGGGTAGGAGTGTGTGGGTCGGCGTAGGAGTGTGTGGGTCGGGGTAGGAGTGTGTGGGTCTGGGTAGGAGTGTGTGGGTCGGGGTAGGAGTGTGTGGGTCGGGGTAGGAGTGTGTGGGTCGGGGTAGGAGTGTGTGGGTCGGGGTAGGAGTGTGTGGGTCGGGGTAGGAGTGTGTGGGTCTGGGTAGGAGTGTGTGGGTCGGGGTAGGAGTGTGTGGGTCGGGGTAGGAGTGTGTGGGTCGGGGTAGGAGTGTGTGGGTCGGGGTAGGAGTGTGTGGGTCGGGGTAGGAGTGTGTGGGTCGGGGTAGGAGTGTGTGGGTCGGGGTAGGAGTGTGTGGGTCGGGGTAGGAGTGTGTGGGTCGGGGTAGGAGTGTGTGGGTCGGGGTAGGAGTGTGTGGGTCGGGGTAGGAGTGTGTGGGTCGGGGTAGGAGTGTGTGGGTCGGGGTAGGAGACGTGCACTTCAAGAACACCTACTGTAGAACGGCTAATTATTTTCAGCGGGTAAACGTGTTAGCGCTTTCTGAATCTGGACCAATTCACGATGAAATATTGTAGCAATCCAAGTTTCAGACTTTAAAAAAGAAGGACGACTACAGTCAGTTTCAAAAAGATTAGCAATCCTGGTGATCTCCCGGGGAGTTTGCCGTCTTACCGTATGAGCGCTCGAGCGCTGCCTGGAAAAACTCACTGTGAACTCGAAGAAATATTCCGCGCGAAAGCATGAAAAATGACAACTCACTCAGGTCGATGTCGGTACAGTCGTGTACGTCTGGTTCACAACAAACGAGTTCTTCCTCGTATCGATTATGGAGTCAGAGAGGACACGTCGAAAGTGTAGTAATTGCCAAGGCTGACGAGCGGCATGGGTCCCAATATGTTTTGTGACCAAATAGTTTCTTTGAGCTGCGATGCTATTTACTCTCACCCTGTGACGAAAACGACATCGACACAGACTCATTCCCAAGGCCATGACTTGGCGAAGCTATCCGTATGACTTCGACAACATTTTGAGAAAAGCAGACGCCTGTGGAAGCTGATAGAAGACGGCGTTGACTTCTAAATTCAAATAAATTGGCGATCTTGAAATACTAAAATAATTCTCAAAAAGAAATCGATCGATCGATGTGCCGGTGTATTCAACACTTAGCTACAGCGCAATGACTTCCGTATTCACTCACACCGTTTCAGTGCTGTGGGTGTGTTCACATGGCGTGAGCCAGTCAAGTGTCAGTCAGATCGGGAGGAAGCGGGAGCTCCAACAACAACAATCGTGAACAACTACAAGTCTGCTTGATCACCAAAAACAATAAAAAAAAAGTGCGAGTTGAAGATAGGTTGGGATTTGAACTCACAACTTCATGGTCAGCAGACAGCATCCATAACCACAAGGCCAGAAAGGAAAAGATAAATCGTGGGTTTTGATAGAAAAATCGATACTGGCTTCCAGGGCAAATTGCAAACCATGGGAAAAGGCCGGAAACCTGGCCGAAATTCTAACTCCTTAACGGCTGGTCCAATTGTTCCGAAACCTTTACAGAACAATTTGCCGTGCCCTAACCAGCCCTTTTATGTACTTCGTTGTCCAATTTCCCCTTATCTTCATACTTTTTAAGACCAAAACCTGATTGCTAATCTTTTTGAAACAGACTATAGTACTGTACTTCATGTGCAAAATTCCGATTGACGCTGCAAGATTTTAGCGAAAATGCTCCTTTCGCTAAAGTCGCTAAAATATCACCATGGCTAAAATTACTCACCTGTCCTCTGGATTTGCCCAATCGATCGTGCCTCGGGACTGAACTCGTACATTCATATCTCATATACCAGAGAATGATATCTAGCTTAATTTGCCGCCTAAAAGTGTGTTTTTTCCTAATAGAGGTGAACTCTTGTTTGCAAGGCATGTAAGGGATTGTGTGAGCACGCCAACGCGTATTGCTTGTGCAAATGCCAAGAATGTATCCATAACTTCTCTGCTGCAGCAGTTGCGTAGGACCCATACTCAGGCAATCTCCTAGCAAAACCGTTCCACTATATTTTCATGTTTAACCTTTTGAGCCCGGGCCCATTGAAAACCTCTGCCACGCAGTAGAATTGTTAAATTCACTCTATTTGAGCAAACTTGATTTCAAAAGATTTTTTCATGTATCCTGAGCACAGAACTGTTTTTTTTTGGAAATACGACAAAGATTATTAAAGTTATGACCGTTTTCAGAAAGGTAGTGTTACGCGAAATTGGTAGTTTGAAATGTATACACGCGCATGTGTAAAGGAAATGGTATTGCCTTCTCCCCCTGGCCCCCGTGTCACACAACAGCTCAAACAACTTGGTGGAGTTTCTGACTTCTTATACAAACGGAAAGGGCACAGGAGGAGAAAGACGAAAAGACTAGACAGAAAACGACGACGGGAAAGACTCCCGGGAAAAGACTCAGAGGATCAACAAAGAACAAGCAGTAATAAACCGAGGACAAATCGTGACGACCAATCAGGGACTAATACGTACAGAACACATGACCAAGACCAAGACAACCAGACCACGGACGAATCACACACGACTCTCATTCCCAGACCAAACTAGCACTGCGCATGTACTGCATTCACTTGACAGTCACTCTCACACAGACGGAAGCACATCCTCACACTCTGACAACGCGTACTCCTGCATGCACCACATACCATAAACGTCACACATCACACCATACTCGCGCGTACACCTAGACCATATATGACATCAGACACTGGACTCCACAAGACAAGAACCAAATACAACGACATGCGTAAATCATAGCCGTAACATAAATTCGTAACACATGTAACTCCAGTTCAAACTTACGGAGCGACTCGCATTTTTTACTGTACTCGTACATCCTAGGAGTACTCTGTGCAGCGGTACAGCTCGACGCCACGCCACGGAAGAAACGCGGAATCGATGTAGTTCCGTACTGACTCGTGACGTTCTAGAACGTCACGCGTGTCACAGTGGCAGTGGTCATGACGTGTCAGAACGTCATGCGTGCTCAAAAGGTTAAATAATCATTTCCACCCATGGGCTTCTGTTGATGCTGATATCTGCTCATTGTGTTTTCTTTTTTTCATCCGTGGCACCAGAAGATGCGGGAAACTCCAATCCAACGCTGGGCACTGGCTCACAAGAGGGAGAAGTACTTTCACCAATGAGTGTACCTTCATCAATGGATGATGAAAGTGATGAGCAGATCATACAGGACGTACAGGGTGCAATTGTGAAATCACCAGGTAAGGTTGAAAGTACAAGTGGTCCATTCTGGTGACAGCTGTAGTATGTTAGGTTACGTTTGGTTGGTCACATTCCCAAATGGGAATCACTTGGAATCACTCGGAATCATTCTCGCCCGTTTGGTTGGTCAAAAAAGTGCGTAAGGTTGGTCACATTCCACATGATTCCAGAATGGGAATCACTGAGAATGATTCTTTTTGGAGAATGATCATTCCACCTCACATGCTGGAATGAGCATTCTCATTCCGGAATCAAAAATGATAATGGCTGCCACGAGCCAAACAATGTAGCAACAGGTTCAAGTGCCTCAAATCATGCACTCAGAAGTACCATGACTCTCTCAAGGAAACTAGAGTCGGGGAAAAGAAAAGACAGCCGCCGTTCCACAACGACATCATGGAATTGTTATGTCAAGTGATTCCTAATTGATTCTGGCGCGTTAGTTTGGTCAGGTGATTCTTGCCGATTCCCATTCCAGAATGGTTGTCATTTACATTCCGAAAATGCCCAACCAAACGCAACCTTAATCTTCCACCTGCTTCCCCTATCCCAACCCCAATGCCACCACTTCAACCCAATTCTCCCGACTTCGCTCCAGTTCCCCCACCCCCATCTCCCCATTTCGCTCCTCCACCCGACCTTACACACTCCATTCCACTCCATCCGATATGACCCCAGGCGCGTACTCGGGGGGGGGGGGGGGGGGGGGTCCTGTTGCCCGGAACACCCCCTCCCCCAAAATGTTTCGAACGCACCTCTGTGCAACATGACTTTGAATGTGGTTTTGTGAGTGAGCGTACATCACCAGCAACTTGTAATGTTGGCTGTACAATCATACTCACATACCTACTGTTTTCGTGAGATCCTAGTGCCCCGTGGCACAACCCTCGTCACAGACACAAGCTCCTAATTCTCTTGTTGGTTAGAAGGTGTTCTTTATTGATCTGTCCCTGTTCTCGGGAGTTGTGTGATTATAGGAAAAATAGTGTGCAAAGTGAGTCGGACATGTATGGAAAAGTGTTGTATCGTGCTCTTTACAGTGGGTGCCCAATCGGGCAGAGCACAAACGAAAAGGGTGCCGCGAGTCAGTGCTGTCATGCAGCAACACCTACGATCTACATGGACACAGGAACAGTCATAATGATTGTACTTTGTGAGGGCGTGAGTTGGGGTAGGGCACGTGCATTACCAGGGCCGCCGGACTTATTAAAATATGTATAAAATAATAATGAAAATAACAATTTAACTCGGATGGGGAGCCAATTAAATAATTGCGAAAAGAAGAAGGACAAAATGTTACGAGTTATGACTAACTGTCCACCAGCACTCGCTGACTGTATAAGATCTGGTTACGTTGGTGGACAGTTAGTCATAACTCGTAACATTTTGTCCTTCTTCTTTTCACAAAAATAATAATAATAACCGGTCCGCTTGGTCTGGTTATCACCGGACACCGACATGTTAGCCACCATCACATGCGCTTACTACTATGAAGGTCATGTGCACCCGCCATATCCTACACAAACTGTGTGAAAGGTCATGTGCACCCGCCATATCCTACACAAACTGTGTGAAAGGTCATGTGCACACGCCATATCACACACACACTGTGTACGAAAGGCACTGAACCTACCGGAACAATCAAAAACTGCTTTTGGCGGTCCTAACTCCAAGTACACCTACTCCGGATTCGGCCAAACGCTCACGCTCACTCGGAGCGCTCTTGCTCTGGATTTGCCCAATCTATCATGTTCCTAGACTGAACTGGTTTATTTATATAAGATCACTTGGAGCGCTCTTGCTCTGGATTCGCCCAACCTATCATGTTCCTAGACTGGACTGGCTTATATATATATATATATGTTAATACAAGAACATGATATCTAGCCTGGTATGGCCTGAACTTTTGCTTTTAATAGAGGTGAGCTCTTTTTGCAAGGCATGTAGGGGATTGTGCAAGCATGCCAATGTGTATTGCTTGTGCAAATGCCAAGATGTATCCATAGCGTCTCTGCTGCTGCAGTAGTTGCGTAGGGCCCATATCCAGGCAATCTCCTAGCTAAACCGTTCCACTATAATTATTTTCATTTTTACATAATCATTTCCACCCATGGGCTTCTGTTGATGCTGATATCTGCTCATTGTGTTTTCTTTTTTTGCATCCGTGGCACCAGAAGATGCGGGAAACTCCAATCCAACGCTGGGCTCTGGCTCACAAGAGGGAGAAGTACTTTCACCAATGAGTGTACCTTCATCAATGGATGATGAAAGTGATGCGCAGATCATACAGGACATGCAGGGTGCAATTGAGAAATCACCAGGTAAAGTGCTACACAGTAAAAGATACAAGCTATCTGTTTGAAAGCAAAGACAAGGATTCTATACCTCCTCCCATTATCCCAATTGACACCACATCCCATCCCCTCCTCACAACCCCCGCCCACCCCCGTGAGTATGGCCTTGTATTCGACAAAGAGTACTTCCAAGTAGGTCAATATGATGACCTACTAGTATTTTGCAACTAGTTTTACCCATGCGGTGTGAAATTGTCCCCTAGAAATGTTTTGAGACTCGTTCAATCAAATTCTTCCCCCGTGATTTGGTGGTGTTTGCTTTAATCAGCCGAGTTCTGTGTTGACCCAATTCAGCAGAATTTGAGGCAATTTGTGGGTCTAATTTGGCCTTTATTGGGTTTCAAAACAAGAGAGCAAATGGCGCCAATGATGATTTCCAAATAACGTGAAACTAGACTTGGGCGGGCATTGCAGAGTAGTTGCTTACAAGCATTCAAATTCATACGGTTACCCATGACTTGTGCTCCTGCAGAGCTCACGGCTGACCGGATACACATTTTGATAAGTTGTATGCAGCTGGTATGCAATGCCCTCCCAAGTCTAGTAGAGAGGCATCTTGGTCTTCTCTCAATGCTGGTGTCTGCTCTTTGTTTTGTTTTCTTACAGCTGAGCAACCAACACCGGCGGTCATATTCAGTGCAGTGCCAGGCTCTGGCTCACAAGAGGGAGAAGTACTTTCACCAATGAGTGTACCTTCATCAATGGATGATGAAAGTGATGCGCAGATCATACAGGACATGCAGGGTGCAATTGAGAAATCACCAGGTAAAGTGCTACACAGTAAAAGATACAAGCTATCTGTTTGAAAGCAAAGACAAGGATTCTATACCTCCTCCCATTATCCCAATTGACACCACATCCCATCCCCTCCTCACAACCCCCGCCCACCCCCGTGAGTATGGCCTTGTATTCGACAAAGAGTACTTCCAAGTAGGTCAATATGATGACCTACTAGTATTTTGCAACTAGTTTTACCCATGCGGTGTGAAATTGTCCCCTAGAAATGTTTTGAGACTCGTTCAATCAAATTCTTCCCCCGTGATTTGGTGGTGTTTGCTTTAATCAGCCGAGTTCTGTGTTGACCCAATTCAGCAGAATTTGAGGCAATTTGTGGGTCTAATTTGGCCTTTATTGGGTTTCAAAACAAGAGAGCAAATGGCGCCAATGATGATTTCCAAATAACGTGAAACTAGACTTGGGCGGGCATTGCAGAGTAGTTGCTTACAAGCATTCAAATTCATACGGTTACCCATGACTTGTGCTCCTGCAGAGCTCACGGCTGACCGGATACACATTTTGATAAGTTGTATGCAGCTGGTATGCAATGCCCTCCCAAGTCTAGTAGAGAGGCATCTTGGTCTTCTCTCAATGCTGGTGTCTGCTCTTTGTTTTGTTTTCTTACAGCTGAGCAACCAACACCGGCGGTCATATTCAGTGCAATGCCAGGCTCTGGCTCACAAGAGGGAGAAGTACTTTCACCAATGAGTGTACCTTCATCAATGGATGATGAAAGTGATGAGCAGATCATACAGGACGTACAGCGTGCAGTTGCGAAATCACCAGGTAAGGTTGAAAGTGCTACACATTTATCACAAGTGGTTCGTTCTAATGGCAGCTAGAGCCAATGTTAATCCTCCGCCCCCACCCCAACCCCCACCCTAGTATACCTTCAACCAACTCTGAGGTGTGAAATTGCATGGTTTCGAATTGCGTTGCGATTCCAAAAAATGTCACTGCACGAGGCCACATCTTGTGGAGTCGTCCAGTGATTGCAGAATGCATACTGTGTGCCACACGACTACTCTCTTGTGGAGTCGTGCAGTGATTGCAGACAGTGGGTTATATGGCATATGAATAGTCTTCCTGCTTTATCCGTACAAACGTCTACCTGGTCGTTGCTGTTTCTTCTTACCTTCACACAGTTGGACCGGCTGCAACTGCATCAAGCAGTGACGAGATGCCTGCGGATATTGGTAGCGCAGCCAATCCACCCCAACCCAAGTCCACACCCAGGCAACCAACAGGTAAATAATTACTACCAGAAATAGAGGCGATGCAAGGTTCTAGCCAGGTAAACATGTAGAGGGGCGGGGGGGGGGGGGGCAGGGGAAACAGTTACTCTGTAACCCATGTTTCTATTTTCCGAAGTTGTCTTGCCATCCAAAACGTACGGAAGCGAACCCTCGACTTTACCCCAGTGTGTCTCGACTTTACCCCAGACAAGTGTACTCTAACCCAGACAAGTGTACTCTAACCCAGACAAGTATGTCTTTATGACCACTGTGTTAGTGATCATCAACTGCATTTTCGCTGAATTGCCTGAAAACACAAAAATCGAAAAATGACCAGGGATGGCGCCATATTTTCACAGAGGGTGCTCAATCAGAGAAGGAGGCACTAACCCCCTCCCTCCCAACCCCCCCCCCCCTTCTTTGGTTGTGATGAATAAACCGAGGCGATCATCAGACGACAATAATGAGATAGATCTGGTTGCTGGTTTCTATACCCACACAGTAAAGGTGTGCTCTATATCATAGCGTTTACAAAAGGGTTGAATGTAAGAATGCTTTGGCTCAACGCAAGCGCATCTTGGGCTCTCTTAGTTCACAGGATAAAACTGTAACTCATCATTAGACAACGTAATGAAAAACCAAATAACCAGAGGACGACACGAGGAGACAAGCCCCAGGAAAAACGGGCTAGAAAACCGTATGTCGTACATGAAGGTCATGGGAACGTTGTAGGCGTGCCATGGCACAAAAGGTAAGTAAAATACGTTAGAAGACACGATAGAAAGAAGAAAGAAGACTGTATAATCAATTGCTTGTATGCTTGTATGTATGCTTGGTGCGAACCATTAGTTTGTGACAATACTCTTATTCATGCAATATATAACAAGCATGCAATATCTAACAAGCATGCAATATTCCACACTCCCTCCAGATGAGAGTTTATAATTTATTGTACTACATGCACCTGACTTATTCCTACAACAGCGTGATGATACTAGAGTACCGAGCATGGTACAATGTGATACTCTCATCTAAAACAGAGTATTTCTTCAGTTCTATAAAGCGCCGGCATCAATCAGTTGCTGTCTGGCTTTATCCGCTGACCGGGCAGCATCTCTCTTGGGACGCATGGCGCCAGGCTGCACACCCGATTGCTGGATAGCAGAGGCTGTGTCTGCAACAACTGCCTGTGGTTGTTCGGCGAGAACGCCGGCGGCTGGTGCAGGTCTCGATACCTCCACGGGGTACAGTCGCTGTACCGGACGACGCATGGTGGATGCTCGTCCTCCACAGGAAGAGCATTTTATCACTGCTCCTCGGACCTTGTCCTTGCCTCGGATGAGGTCTTCCACTAACGCTAGTCTTCACAGGCCACGTTTCTCATTCTCGTTGTGCACGACTACTATATCACCGACGCACACTGTTGCTCCTTGGCCGTGCTGATTGCCTTGCCTGTGAGCGTTTCGGAGTTCGAGGAGATACTCGCTTCTCCATGTGCACCAGAAATGCTCCAGGAGTGTGTTGAGATGGGTGAGTCGGTGCAGAAGCTCATCTCGTTGTACTGACGCGACATCGACGTCATCAGGACAAACTGTTGGAAATGACAGGATGCGCCGATCATACAGTAGATGGGACGGTGTTAACGGCTCTTCGACATCTTCAGTTGAGACAAATGTCAAAGGACGACTGTTGAGGATGGCTTCAACCTCGAGCATGAAGGTGAGCAGTTCTTCGTACACGACGCGTGCCTGGCCGAGAATATTCCTCAGGCAGCGTTTCACACATCAGACCATCCGTTCGTAAAACCCACCCCACCATGGAGCCTTTTTCTAAGTTGAACGACCATTCCATGCTGTAAATAAGCCTGAACTCTCTCTCTCTCTCTGGGTGATGACGGGTGTATCGCAACCCCGTGATTTCGCTTGTGTCTGTACTGTTATATCTACTCATGCTGATGTTTGCTAAAACAGTGCTGGCCTGCGTCACCGCCTCAGTGCACGACACTTCTAATTCCGCAGTCTCCTTTGCCAGACTCTCCAAATATGCAGGATTCTTGCAAATATATTTGCCAGCTCCGAAACAACCTCCATCACGGAGTTCATCCTATTCTCGAGCATCAGTAGCCGATACTAAGTTACTAACTCTCATCGACACTCACTGTTTCCGACACAATGGACACCAGCAACCCACGGCGGACATTAGTATACTCCGTCTTCGCCTTCGCCTTGGCGATCTTCAGCTGCGGACCAATACTCTCTGCCATCTCTAGGCTTCTCTGGTTCGAATCCGGCGATCCGGCTCGAAGGACCAATTTACAAAAGGGTTGAATGTAAGAATGCTTTGGCTCAACACGAGCGCATCTTGGGCTCTCTTAGTTCACAGGATAAAACTGTAACTCATCATTAGACAACGTAATGAAAAACCAAATAACCAGAGGACGACACGAGGAGACAAGCCCCAGGAAAAACGGGCTAGAAAACCGTATGTCGTACATGAAGGTCATGGGAACGTTGTAGGCGTGCCATGGCACAAAAGGTAAGTAAAATACGTTAGAAGACACGATAGAAAGAAGAAAGAAGACTGTATAATCAATTGCTTGTATGCTCGTATGTATGCTTGGTGCGAACCATTAGTTTGTGACAATACTTATTCATGCAATATACGACAAGCATGCAATATCTAACAAGCATGCAATATTCCACACTCCCTCCAGATGAGAGTTTATAATTTAGTGTACTACATGCACCTGACTTATTCCTACAACAGCGTGATGATACTAGAGTACCGAGCATGGTACAATGTGATACTCTCATCTAAAACAGAGTATTTCTTCAGTTCTATAAAGCGCCGGCATCAATCAGTTGCTGTCTGGCTTTATCCGCTGACCGGGCAGCATCTCTCTTGGGACGCATGGCGCCAGGCTGCACACCCGATTGCTGGATAGCAGAGGCTGTGTCTGCAACAACTGCCTGTGGTTGTTCGGCGAGAACGCCGGCGGCTGGTGCAGGTCTCGATACCTCCACGGGGTACAGTCGCTGTACCGGACGACGCATGGTGGATGCTCGTCCTCCACAGGAAGAGCATTTTATCACTGCTCCTCGGACCTTGTCCTTGCCTCGAATGAGGTCTTCCACTAACGCTAGTCTTCACAGGCCACGTTTCTCATTCTCGTTGTGCACGACTACTATATCACCGACGCACACTGTTGCTCCTTGGCCGTGCTGATTGCCTTGCCTGTGAGCGTTTCGGAGTTCGAGGAGATACTCGCTTCTCCATGTGCACCAGAAATGCTCCAGGAGTGTGTTGAGATGGGTGAGTCGGTGCAGAAGCTCATCTCGTTGTACTGACGCGACATCGACGTCATCAGGACAAACTGTCGGAAATGACAGGATGCGCCGATCATACAGTAGATGGGACGGTGTTAACGGCTCTTCGACATCTTCAGTTGAGACAAATGTCAAAGGACGACTGTTGAGGATGGCTTCAACCTCGAGCATGAAGGTGAGCAGTTCTTCGTACACGACGCGTGCCTGGCCGAGAATATTCCTCAGGCAGTGTTTCACACATCAGACCATCCGTTTGTAAAACCCACCCCACCATGGAGCCTTCTCTAAGTTGAACAACCATTCCATGCTGTAAATAAGCCTGAACTCTCTCTCTCTCTCTCTGGGTGATGACGGGTGTATCGCAACCCCGTGATTTCGCTTGTGTCTGTACTGTTATATCTACTCATGCTGATGTTTGCTAAAACAGTGCTGGCCTGCGTCACCGCCTCAGTGCACGACACTTCTAATTCCGCAGTCTCCTTTGCCAGACTCTCCAAATATGCAGGATTCTTGCAAAATATATTTGCCAGCTCCGAAACAACCTCCATCACGGAGTTCATCCTATTCTCGAGCATCAGTAGCCGATACTAAGTTACTAACTCTCATCGACACTCACTGTTTCCGACACAATGGACACCAGCAACCCACGGCGGACATTAGTATACTCCGTCTTCGCCTTCGCCTTGGCGATCTTCAGCTGCGGACCAATACTCTCTGCCATCTCTAGGCTTCTCTGGTTCGAATCCGGCGATCCGGCTCGAAGGACCAATTTACAAAAGGGTTGAATGTAAGAATGCTTTGGCTCAACACGAGCGCATCTTGGGCTCTCTTAGTTCACAGGATAAAACTGTAGCTCATCATTAGACAACGTAATGAAAAACCAAATAACCAGAGGACGACACGAGGAGACAATCCCCAGGAAAAACGGGCTAGAAAACCGTATGTCGTACATGAAGGCCATGGGAACGTCGTAGGCGTGCCATGGCACAAAAGGTAAGTAAAATACTTTAGAAGACACAATAGAAAGAAGAAAGAAGACTGCATAATCAATTGCTTGTATGCTTGTATGTATGCTTGTGTGCGAACCATTAGTTTGTGACAATACTTATTCATGCAATATCTAACAAGCATGCAATATCTAACAAGCATGCAATATTCCACATAGCGTTAGCATCATTGCGTTAAGGGCTCAAACTTGATTTTCCACTCCGTCCCCCAGCGAGACAGTGCATCCACACCATGTTGCATGATTGCTGAGCAGCCAGGTATTGACACTCTTGACGTAATATAGTTGAAGAGCGTAGTGTCGTCGGCATTATGCTGCAAGGTCTATTGAGATGAAAGTCATTGAAGTCAACTATTGCGCACCAGCGTGGGGTTAAAACAACTTTTATAACAGATAGACACAAAACCGTCATAAACATATTCTTGGTCAGTTTGTCCTAAACATAGTCTTGGTCAGTTTGTCCTAAACATAGTCTTTGTCAGTTTGTCCTAAACATAGTCTTGGTCAGTTTGTCCTAAACATAGTCTTTGTCAGTTTGTCCTAAACATAGTCTTTGTCAGTTTGTGGCTCTGGTCAGCAGTACTTTTAAACACACTGGTCTGTCATGCACTTAGCTAACTGGTCTACTGCACTTAACGCACTGGTCTACTGCACTTAACGCACTGGTCTACTGCACTTAAAATACACTGGTATACTGCACTTAAAATACACTGGTATACTGCACTTAGCACACTGCTCTACTGCACTTAACACACTGGTCTGTAGTACTTAACGCACTGGTCTACTGCACTTGACACACTGGTTTTTTAATGCAGGTAATGTAACAGGTCATGTAGTGGATGGACAGATACTGGGATTGGTTATCTGACATTTGTTAGGCAGGCTATGGTGATGAAGGAGAAAGGTGATGAGCACTGTCCCCACATTATGTCCAGCTCTGTGATGCAGGACTTCTGTACTAACATCTCCTGACCCTACTCAGTTAGCTATAGCTAGGTGTGCCATGATACATGACAGTTTGACATGCAGCTCTATGTCTTCTTTCTGTGCTCACATAACTTTGGTACTTTGTTTTGTTGCAGCTGCTGATGCTGACGATGATAGTGATGAGTTGGATGCTGAGTTGGAAGCTCTTTTTGGTACTGATGGTGATGCTGACACTGATGCTGATTCTACATCAGGTAAGATGAAAGTCATTGCAGTCAACTTACTGTAAGTCGACAGATTTCGGCCCATTCACATTTCGGCCTCCCAGGGCTAAAACACATTTCGGCTGCATTGAAATTTCAGCCTGTACTGCTGCTGCCTGTATACACTGTCACACTGAACCTTGCAAAACAAAATTTCGGCTGCAACAAATTTTCGGCCAAATATGATCAGGCCGAAAATAGCCGAAAATAAATATGCACCGAATATTTGTTGACTTGCAGTACTGCTCACCAACGCGGTGTTAACAACTTGTTTTAAAGATAGACACAAAACCGTCATCACATAGTCTTGGCCACTACGTGGCTCTGATCTGCAGTACTTAACACAGTGGTCTAATGTACTTAGCATTACTCTGGTCTAATGCACTTAGGGGCCATCCGGAATTATCGATAATTTTCACGAAACGA